AAAAAAAAAAAAAAAAAAGAAAAAAGAATTTAACATTGATACAATCTAACATACAGATGTTAGATGACTTTTGGTAATTGTTTCAATGTTGTACTTTATAACACCTCCACCCCCATCCAGTATCCAATTCAGGGCTATGCATTACACCTAGTTGTCATGCCTTGTCATCTTTATTTGTGGAGCTGTGGGTCGAATCCAAGGCCTTGCACACTAAGCAAGCTCTCTAACACTGAGCTACTCTCCACATCATATTTCATCTCCTATAATCAGCAATAGTTCTTCAGCTTTTGCCACTACACAGACATTGCTGGAAGGGTGCAGACTAAGTTATTTAAGAACAATCCCTTAACTTGGCTTTCGCCCGAAGTTTCCTCATAACTGATTTTATGCATTCCTGCGTGGGAGATGACCCTGTTTCCTTCTTAGTGAAGGATGTCACTCTGTCCTGTTATTAATGTTAGCACAGACCGCTGCCTTAAGTTGGTGTCTGCAGGGTTTCTCTACTATAGTTACTATTTCTCGTTTTTTTATTATCAAGTGATGGTGGCTATTTCTGTAGGAGCCTTCACATATTCTTTCAATTTCATGGGATTAAAAAAAAAGAGAGGAGGGGGTACTTTCAGGAAATGGATCCCTGTTTTGTGCAGAAGAGATCCAGCAGCAAGCCTCTGGCAGCAACCTTTTGTCAATAAAGTTTTGGAAACGGAATCGTAAACCCTTCCGGAAGGGTGTGACCGGCTAGCCGCAAGACCTTTCGGGAGTCGTAGTTTCCCGGGGCGTTGGCTACGCACTGTCCCGCGGTGTCCGGTGGAAAGAGCCAGAAGAGGCCAAGCGGGCGGAGAGGAGGGCGGTGCGCTCCGGGCGCGATGCACCGTGGGACTGGGAGTTCGCGGCGCGCGCCTCGCCGCGCCCTGTCGCGCGTGCGCGGGAGAACTGGACTTCTTTACCCGATGAGCCCCGCGCGCCGAACCGAGGGAAGCCGGCTCGGGCTCGAACAAATCAAATCAAAGGAAAGAAACTGCCGGCTTTCAAAATCCTCCTCCTCCGCCATCATCCGCCGCCCTGCCGAGAGCAGGTGGTGTAGGAGACGCGAGTGACGAGGGACCCCGGGAGCGCGGACAGACAGACAGACAGGCGGGCTGGGCACCGGGACCGCTGAACCCAGGGAAGCGACGCGGCCGGACCTGACCTGACCCCAGATCGGCGTCCGTCCCGCCCGGCTGACGCGCGCGCTCGGATCGCCCCACGCGGCGCCGCCTGTTCACGGTAGGGCCGGGGTCCCTGTGCTGTCCCTGTCACCTGCTGGGGCGGAGCGGCTGGGACAGGGGGCGAAGGTGTGGCGCCGCCGGGACCCGCCGCGCGCCCCTCGGCTTCTCCCGCGCGCCTTCGACTGCCGAGCGCGGGGCGGGCGCGGGGTGCCGGGGGGTCTCCGGTCCTTTCACAAGTGGGGAAACTGAGGCTTTAGAGGAAGTTTGACGCGCCCGTGCCTCCCAGCCTGGAGCTGTCAGCAGTGGCGTCTCAGGATAGGCGTCGGTGTCACCTGGAGGCGGTGCGAGTCCTCGGGGAACCCGGGCGGGGCTCCCCTCCGGTCCTGCGCTGCCTGAGTCCCCGCGTGGCGCCGCCGCCGCCCCCGCCGCCTCCCCTCTCGGCCCACGCTTCGGGGCCCGCGGGCGCCGCCGCTGCCCAGGTATCGGCGTGAGTCACTGTTGACGCTTCGCGGGATCGATGGATCCGCACCCACGCGGCCCGCCACGGGAACACGACTTGCCTGTGTTAACCGTCTGTTTTTGCTTTGTCGTCGGCTGTTTGCTGACTGGACACATCATTTCATCTGTTTTGGCTTTTTAGTCTTGGAAGTGAATGGGAGCGGGCGCGCGCGCGCGTGTGTTCTCGCGCGCTCGTTTGTGCCTCATAGGACTGAGTAATTTCTGTCCCTGTTCCATCTGGACCCCATCACCATTTTTTCTAGCCTCACATGGTCCCATCTCAGAAGTCCAGTAGGTGATTTGATTCCAGATTAATTTTTATTCCGTTTTATCCTGCATTCTTTGAGCGCCTTTTAAGTAGCAGGCCCTCTGCAGCAAGTAGTGATCCTGTGGAGACATAGGTCAGAGCATGTTTGTCCTTTGCAAAACCCTCCAGCAGCTCTCTTTGGGACTCGGAGAATGAAACACTAGGGTTCTTAAAGTGGCCTTTGGGACTGGAGCCCCTTGTTATTTCTCTTTTCTCCTACTTCCATGCTCCCTCCCTCTCTGGGTTCCCACAGGCCTCTTTGCTGTCCTCCATTCTCATCTTCCCCGGAAGCCTGTGCATATTCTGTTCCCTTTCTAGACATGCTCTTCCCCCAGGTGTTAGCATGGCCCAGTACTTGATAACCTTTAGGACTGATTTAATTCTTTTTTTTTTTTTTTTTTTTTTTTTTTTTTGGTTTTTCTCCGGTACCGGGAACCGAACTCACAACCTTGCGCTTGCCAGGCAGGCGCTTTGCCACTGAGCTAAATCCCCAGCCCCTTGATTTAATTCTTTACTAGTAATACCTTTTCTAATTATTCTACTTTAAATTCCCACCCCCCAGAAAATAAAAACACCAAAGCCCTTCTTATGCTCTTTCCTCTTTGTTTTTATATCACTTGAACATAATTTTTTTTTTTTTTGGCTTTTTGTGGTACAGTACTGGGGATCAAATTTAGGACCTGAGCTACATCTCCAGCCCTTTTTGAAATGTGTTCTTGCTAAGTTGCCTTAAGTGGGCTAGAACTTTCAATCCTTCTGACTTAGTGTCCTGGGATAATAGGTGTCACCCCTACACCCAGCCATGACCAGCTAAACATTTTGCTTAAAGCATATACTTCACGAAGACAGGTGGGGTGTGGTGATGCACACCTGTAATCCCAGCAGTTGGGAGGTGAGGCCGGAGGGTCACAGTGAGTTTGAGGCCAACCTCCGATACATAGTAAGTTAGTTCAAAGCCAACCTGGACTACATGGGGAGACACCGTGTCTCACAAGCAAAACAGAACAAAACAAAACAAATAGAAGACAGGATTTTTTGTTTCATTTACTGCTGTTCTCCAGGTACTTGGAACACTATGCAGTGCATAGTAACACTCAGTATAATAAATGTTTTTTGAGTAAACGCCAGATGCCTTTCCCAGGAGAATAATTCAGGCTTCTTGTTAAGGACATGCAGGTGTAGACAGACCAGGGCAATAACTGGGAAGAATAGAAAGGGTGAGAAACTGGTTCTTTGAGCCCAGACAAAGTCTGAGAGGTATGGGAGGACGAAGGGTTATCACAGCTCCATCTGAGGATGACTTTCAATAGCACCCCCTTATCTCTGTTCCCTGTATCACTCCTTGGTCTGCCTTGCTTGCCTGTGGTTTCCTCTTTGGGGGAGTGGAGTTGTCCATTTTGGTAGGTGCTGAACTCCAGGCTGGAAGCAGCAATATTGTTGCAACATACACAGTGATACCTTGGTTGTTGAACTCACTTTGTTCCAAATTCATGGTGTAAGTTTGAGAACTGAACATATAGTTCCTTTAAGAAGAAATAGAAAACCAAATAATTGCTTCTGAGGCCCAAAAATTACACTTATAAATTTGTTTTTCCAGGACTTTAACACATTTCACAATGATTTCTTTAACTTTGTTGTGGTTCTCACAGTTTTCCTCTTAGCTTCTCTGCTGATATCACTAACTATTTTTAGAGCCACGGTTACAGTATTTTATGCAAGCGCAAAAAGAAAAGCACAATGATGAATGATGAATGTTTTAATGCACTAACACCAGCACTACATGTTGTCTTGGTGTGAGTGACATGCTTAGATTGAAGCATCACCCCTTTGTGTCCATGGCAAGATGTGACATGTGACTCACTCTGCCCTGTACAGATTTTTTAAAGTTAGATTTTCAGTTCACTATTGAGCAAAGCAGAATATTGAGCAGATTTTTTTTGAACTTCACTGTCCCAGTAGTTGAAAGTTCATGCTGGGCGTGGTGGTGCACACCTGTCATCGCAGTACTTGGGAGGCTGAGGCAGGAGGATTGCTGTGAGTTTGAGGGCAGCCTGGGCTACATAATGAGTTCAAGGCCAAACTGAACTAGATGGTGAGACCCTGCCTCAAAAAAAAAAAATAAAAATAAAAAAGAATGGACTTGGAGCTGTCGGGCAGACACCTGAGGTATCACTGTACAGTATTGTCATCAACTTCCTGGCATTGAACTCCCAAAACCCAAAAGTGATGTGTCTTTTTGTTTTTGTACGCTAATGAAATGGTTGCTGGTGGGCAGCCTTTAGGTGGCTTCAGGATGGGGACCAGTCACCAAAAAGACTCAGGCAGTGTTAGAGGGTTGGGACTTCCAGCCCCGCATGCTAAACTCTGGAGAGGGGCTGAAGGTTAAGTTGATCACCAGTAGCCATCGATTTAACTAATCATATCTGCATAAGGAAGCCTCCTTAAAACCCCCAAAGACAGAGATGGGAGAGCGTTGGACAGCTGAGTGAGTAGGTTCTTGGAAGGTGCAGTTCCAGCGAGTGGGTAGAAGCTCTCAGCCTTTTCTCCCACCCTTTACCCTATGTGTTTTTTTATCTGGCTGGGTTTTTTTGGTACTGGGAATCGAAATCATGACCTCATGCTTGCCAGGCAGGCGCTGTACTGCTAAACTGTATTCCTGACCCCTCTGGCTGTTTATTTGTATCCTTTAAAATGCCCTTTCTGTAACAGTAAACAGTAAGTGTATTTCCCTGAATTCTGTGAGCTACTCCAGCAAATTGAACCCAAGGAGGGGGTTATGGGAACCCCAGTTGATAACCACTGGGTCAGATGTGCAGATAAACCAACGTGAGGTTTACATTAGCATTGGAAGTGGGGCTCAATTTTGTGGGACTGAGCCCTCAACCTGTGGGATCTGACACTGTCCAGATGGTGTCAGAATCAGCATTGAATTAGTATCATCAGTAGTCTCCATTGTAGAATGAATTGGTTGCTTGGTATACAAGGAGGAACTCATATACATCTGCCATCAGAAGTGTGTTACAAGAATACAGTGAAAAAGTTGAGTTTGTTTTTCCTTACTCTGGCCTATTGTGATGGTGGCTGTTGTGATGTAGAGATTCTGGTCTCCTAGGAACCCCAGAGGGGCCACCATGGCCTGCCGTCTCTTGGGTTAACACCAGATGTGCAGTGGGCTGAGCCCTGTGCCCCAGTCCCAGAGTCATGCCAGCGGGGGCAGCAGGGAAGTCCCTGGGATGGATGGCCTAGACCCCTTAGCCATCTCTGTCCTGTTTGAGGAATGGGGCCCTCAAACAGAGAGCTGCCCAGATGATCAGGCAGGTGCGTGTCTGGGACTTGACCTGCCACTCACCTGGGCGTCCAGGACGTAGTCATTTGGCGTGGTTGCTGGGCGTCCTCTCAGCGCACTTTGACAGAGGAGGTCTTACAGTGAGCTGAAACTCATCAGGGGCTAAAGATGATTTTACTGCTTTCTTGCTACCTCCTCTACCGTTCTAGAACTGTTCCTCTGCTAATAGTGTTTTTATTTCTCGCAGTGTTTTAGCTCTGGCGTTCTCCATGGCAAGGGCAGCGAAGGTGGCTGACATCTTACCCTGGCCGTCCCCAACCAGGGGTCCTAGGAGATGCCTTTCTTAATGCAATTTTGGTCTCTTCAGTTTGCAGATCTCCAGGGGAGCCCACCGTTGTGGCCAGCATGGCCTCCGAAGACATCACCAAGCTGGCAGAGACCTTGGCCAAAACCCAGGTGGCCGGGGGACAGCTGAGCTTCAAGGGCAAGAGCCTCAAGCTGAACACCGCGGAAGATGGTGAGCTCCTGGACTGGTTGTGCAAGGGAGGAGAGGGCGTGCAGTGTACGCCAGCTGATGGTACAGGTTCTTTGTGCAACCTTGTCGCTAATTATTTGTCCTGGCAGCTCTGGGAGGTCAAATGTCTTTGGAACTATTCTAACAATGAGGCTTAAAGGCCATTTGCCCAAGGCTAGGGCTGTAGCTCAGAGCTAGAACATTTGCCCGCTCTTTGGCTGTGGGTACCCTTTCCTCACTGCTCCTTTCTCTCTCAGGAGGGGATGGGAGGTCATAAGGGGTCACAGTTAGTGGCATCCCCGGGATACGGCTCTTCCCACCCCTGCCTTCGTCCTGTGATCCCAGGTGAGACCTGGAATGTGCTGCCTTCCCCAGAGCTGAGGCCCTGGTAGAATTGCATTAAAACAATCTGGGCCTTCTTGGGAGCTTCTAGGTGCTAGTCCCTGCGAGCAGATGCCCCAAGGAAGGGATGGAGGCCCCTGGGTGGGAATCAGCACACAGGCGCTCTCTTCCCAGCCCTGGCCGGCGCTTGTTGGGCACTGGCCAGCCCCGAGCCTCTGGAGACTGGAGGTGAAGGTTCCTGTGGCAGTCTTGGTGAGGCCTCTTGGAGTTCCGGCCCAACCAGAGAAACTGGCCTGGACTTGCCTGGTTGTCACAGTGTGCCGGTGGCCTTAAGCACACATCCCCACCCTTGCCAGAGACTGCGCGAGTCCTTGGGATGCTGGAGTGTGGTCACTCGCATTCCTGAGTCTTCCATAGGCCCTTGAAACAGAGTTCCTCTCAGCATCCCTGAAGGAGGTACTAGACGGAAATGTTGCATTTTGTAATGAGGAAAAGGGACTTAGGAGACTTAAGTCACTTGTCTAAGGGCACACGTCTGGAAAATGATGAGCTGGCTTTTGTCAGAGGTCCGGCTGAGTCCTTGTTCCCGTGCCTCTAAGTAGACGTTCAGCTTGGTAAACACTGAACACTCTGTCCGGCAGGGTGTTAAGTGTCAGACAGATAGTATCTCAGTTTATCTTCGCAAAATTCCTTGAGGAAAGCACATTGCAGGTTGGGAAACTGAGGCTCAAGGGGGTGGTGATGACTGACCTAAGGGTACATCTACAAGTGCTAGAGCTGGCATGAGAACTCAGGTTTGGCCCTACAGTCCGGCACAGCCGTACCTGCTGTCTCTCATTTTGTAGCCGCCCCCCACATGCCTGACTCACAGCCCCAGGCTGTAAGGAGCTCCTAATCCTGGGCAGTAAGGCGGGACGGCTGTCCCTTTTCACTCAGGGAGCCCCGGAGGTCTCCTTGGAGGAGCTGGTATTACAGCTGTCCTTGAAGGATGATTTGAAGGAAAGAGGACACTACAGGCGAAGAGAACCAAAGGGGTTGAGACCTGGAGGTTGGGCTTAGGAGGGAGGAAATCTGAACCCCGTCTGGGGCCCAGGGCTGAGGAGCCTGGAGCCCAGGTGAGCTTGGAGTGAGCGGTGTACAAGGCAGCAGAGCTGGTGATCATCCCGTCTAAATGCCAAAGAAAGGCCTTTCTGCTTTGCGTGCCAGAGTAACAAGCCTCCCAGACTTGTTCCCTGTGAGCTGGTAGAGGCTGTAAGGAGGGCATCTGTTTCTGAGTGGTTATTCAGGGTTGAAACCTGTTGTGTGGGGACTAGTTTTTCAGTTACCGTTCCTGTGTGTGGATTGGATGGGCGGGCAGGCGCCTGGGCTCCCACCCTGTGTTGTCCCTGCTCTCCCATTTCGGTGCGTTTTCTTCCAGTCTGTGCTGATGACTCCCCGGAGCTGAGCTTGCACAGAGCACTGTACTAGTCCCGGTGCACTGATGCCACCCACGAAGCACAAGTTAGGTCTTTGCTGGAGGCCCCGGCAGCCCTGCCTCTGTGCTCTTAAGGACTGTGAGCATCCCCTTGAGCGCCGCCCCCGTCTTTGTTGACGTGGCAGAGCCCAGATGTTAGACCAGGTGCCCTTTTGGAGTGAGGCTTGCAAAGGGCGGGTAGGTTACTCCCACCTTTGCCCTAGGGACCAGCACAGAGGCGGCATGGTCCACGGGGGGTCTGGAGCTGTGACTCCGAGGTGGTCGCCCAGGCAAGTGTGGGTGGGTCTTAAGAGGCTTCTCTGTGGGGATGCCATGGGGAGGAGTGCAGGGGTTCAGTGTTGGAGCCATCTGCAGCTTGGGCCTGCCATTGCCCCAGAACTCCTGGGCAGTCCTTCCTTGAAACCTCAGCCTCCTCTTGTAGAAAGTCAGGCTCAGCTCTCTGGCCTTCCTTGTAACCAGATGGGAAATACATGCTGGTCGCTGCTGTGCGGCTGGATGGCCTGAGCGGGCGTTCACTTACTGAGCTGTAGGGCGGATATAATAGTAACGGGCTTCTGAGGGGAGCTGGGAAAGCACACAGTGGCAGAACAGGCTCGTCCTTGGGGACACAGTAGTGAGCACAGGCGGAGAGAGGCTCTTTGCTCTCAGAGCGTGGGCCTAATGAGCAGATGCTGTTACGATCAGGTGATCCTTTAAGCAGGCTCCAGACTGTCGGGTCTGTGCATGCTGTAGCATGGAGACTGAGCTGGCTGGGAGGTTGGGCAAGGCTTCCCGAGGAAGGGACATGGCAGGGTAGGGCCAGGAGCAAGCAAGCCAGCGTGTGCTGTGGAACCCGTACTTGGACTGCTTCTTAGGAAGCACCGTACAGATGGCAGGCTCCTTTCTCAAGACCCTTCTGTGATCTTCATAGCCAGAAGGTCAAGTTCAACTGGGTGTGGCGACACACACCTGTAGTCCCAGCGTTCTGGGAGGCTGAGACAGGAAGATTGCAAGTTTGGGAAAAACAAACAAACCAGTTACTGCACTAGAAAGAAAATGCACCAAAATCAACAGTAGTGAGATCCCTGGGCTGTGTGATGATTTTTTTCCTCCTCCTTTCATAGTATCTGTATTCCATAATCAATTTGTATTCATTCAGTGATCTGAACAAAAACAAGTTCATGAAACAAAAAAGTCTTGTCTGGCTGGCAGAGGATGGGGTGGGGCAGGGAGGTAAGCAAGACAGAGGGGGATATGGGACATTAGGTTTGAACTTGACTTTTTTCCTTGAGGTACCAGGGGGTGAACTCGGGGCCTTCATGCTGAGCTACTTACCCAGCTCTTCTTTTTTTTTCATATTTTATTTTCAGAGAGGGTCTTGCTAAGCCACTAAGTTGCTTGGGTTGGGGTGAAATCTGTGACCCTTCTGCCTCAGCCCCCAGAGTGCTGGCATTGTAGGTGTGGCCCCATGCCTGGCTGACCTAACTTCTTATAATGCACCAAACCCTCAGTGAATTATTCAGTTGTCCTTTCTCGTTTTCTTTTCTTTTTTGTAGTGCTGGGAAAGCACATCCTCTGTGCGTGTTTACACGGTTTAGAATTTGTCATTATTAAGAAAAGCACAGTGACGCGCACGCCCCGCGGGAGAGGCGGTTAACGACGTAGGCCGTCTGTAGCTGAGCCTGCCGCTCTGCTGTGCTGTCGGTCCCCACTTGCGTGCCTTTCCCTACCTGGCCTGGCGTGCACCCCGTCTTGGAGGCCTGCACTCACCTCCCACTAGGGGAAGTTGTCTTTGCTCCTGGCAGCCAGCTGCTCTTTCCCTTGGCTTCCCTGCCTTCTGCCCCTGCCTTGTGTGAACCTCAAACAGAGGCGGTGTTTGCCTCACTGTGCCTGCCGCCGGCCTGTGAGCCGGTCCCGTCTTCTGCAGCCCAGAGCTGGCCGTGGTGCACCACAGCCCATGGCGTGTGTGGGTACGGTGGTTACCGAGCTCTCTCCTGCTCCAGCTCTTGGTGACTCTCAAATCCTAACATGCTGTTTTTGGTCTTGGGCAGCTAAGGACGTGATTAAAGAGATTGAAGACTTTGACAGCTTGGAGGCGCTGCGCTTAGAGGGCAACACGGTGGGCGTGGAAGCGGCCCGGGTCATCGCCAAGGCCTTAGAGAAGAAGTCAGAGTTGAAGGTGAGGTCTGCAGGGGAAGCAGCTTCCCTGCCACAGCCCTCCCAGGCCCTGCCTTGGTGACTTCCTCTTCTTCCTATGGCCACCCGGAGCACCCAGCACCGAGAGTTCCTCCCCTGCAGTGCGCAGACCTGAATGAATTAGGAGCACAGGAGGCTGTTGGCTTGACACCTGTGCCAGTGAGGAAGGAAGGCTACAAAACTAGTCACACACGCACGTCTGCAGCTCTTCCGACAAAGCCTGGCCGGCGCTCTGGGCGGGAGTGGCCAGGCCTGGGCTCCAGTGCCGAGGCAGGTTCTTCCCTAAAGGTTAAATCCAGGCTGTGCCTCCTTGGCCAACACCAAGGGCCACTCGGAATCTCTGTTTTCTCTTGGCAGTACTGGGCTCAAAGCCAGGGGCTGTGCCACTGAGCTACCTCCCCAGCCCTTTTTATTTTTTTGTTTTGAGAGAGGGTCTTGCTAAGTTGCCCAGGTGGAACTCAAACTTGTGATCCTTTCCAGTTTGGATTATTTTACCCAGTGTTCTCAAAGTGGCTTCCACTGCATCCCAGCGGTCAGTGTGCTCCGTGAAGAAAGTGGAGGTGTCATGCTCAGCGTGGCAAGGGGTGTCACTGTGTGCTTTCCCATGAATCCCAGTGAGCATTAGCCTATTGGAGTCTGAAGCGTCCTGAGGGAGGGAGCCCAGTTTTGCAGACTGGGAGTGTGCTCCTTAATGTGTGTGGGGCTGAGCTTGTTCTGGGCCCATCTCCATTTGTCATTTATTTCAATCCTCACAACAGCCTGGGTAAAATACTGGGGGGTAGCTCCATTTTATACGTCAAGGGAGTGGAGGCTCAGAGGAGCTGCGCTTTGGAGCCCACAGGGCTGGTTCCAACCCCAGCACCTGCACTTTGTTTGACCCCGCACTGAACGTGGCTCAGAGGCTGGGCTCCTGTAGGAGGTGAGGCTCTTCCCCTTCTCAGAGGTCCTCCCGTGAGAGGCTGCCACATGCTTCATCCCCTGATGTAGACCCAGGCCTGTCCTGTGCTGGAGGAAGCCACGCGCATGTGAGCTGCCTTCGATGGCCCGCAGTATTCAGGTGTGAGCTGATGCAGAGTGTGATGTTTTCTCCCCTTGAGGTTTTGACAGTTGACAGAAGTACAAGCCAGGGTCGTACAGGAAGACGAGGCTGGACGGAGTTCATGAGAGGCTGAGATCAACGAGGCCTAAAGCTTTGTTTCAGAGAGAGGGTTCCACAGGCCAGAGAAGGAGTGACCTGGAGCCAGCTGGGTGGGGATCAGAACCTAGGCCTTGTGCCCTGGAGCCCCAGGCTGACTCTTCAGCTCATCACACTTGGACTGTGACTCCCTGTCCCCCGTCCTAATGACTTGCATGCAGAGCAACTCCCAGAGCAGGCCTGGCTGCATTAAGCATCCAGCTGAGGCCCTGGGGTGTGAATCAGTGGCTTTATGGGAAGATGTTGGCTTTGGAGCATTTTTCTCCAAAAACCAACTTCCTAGTACAGAAGGTTAGACTTAGCTCGTATAATTTAAGGTCTGGATCTTTAGGGGAAATGGGCTTTCCCTGTGTCTCATCATCTCCATACATGGCCCAGAGATGGCTGGAGTTGGAAGTGGACACAGCAGTTGGAGCTAGGAATAGGGCTGTCACAACTAAGTTATGTGACTGCCACTTTTGTGATGCTTATCTTTTTTTTTTTTTTTTTTTTTTGAGACAGGGTCTCTCTGTGCAGTTCAGGCTGGCCTTGGGCCCACTTTGTAGCCCAGGCTGGTCTCAAACCTGCAAAGATCCTCCTGCCTCAGCTTCCTGAGTGCTGGGATTACAGGCATGCGCCACCATGCCAAATTTGTGATACTTATCTAATACTTTTCACTAAGTTAGCTAGCTTGTATGTAATTTCAGAACACTGCTTCTATAAATAGAAAGCCAAGGGCCGGGGATATAGCTCAGTGGCATAAGCACTTGCCTGGCAAGCCTGAGGTCATGAGTTCGATTCCTGGTCCCAGAAAAAAAAAAGAAAACCATCATGTATTACAATAAATGGTGTATTTAGTTCTGATTTGATGCTGTTGATATCTAAAGGCTCCAGCGCTGAGCCCTGCTTTTTGTTAGAAAGGAACGTGGGAGGAGCCCCAGCCCCCATGGAGGTGGTCAGAGAGGTGGAAAAAGAGGAGCTTCCTCGGTGCTGAGTCCGGTGTTGTTTACTTTCTTGCCCCTCTGTCACCTGGAAGCCAGTCACGTCCAGTGAGTGGGTTGGAGAAGTCAGAAAGGTTCCTTGTACTTCTGCCGCGGCCTTCACAACCCTAGGGCCTACTTACCTTGGGGACGGGCCTCCAGGTCCTACCAACTGCAGGCAGAACTGCTCCAGCTTTTGCTGACAAAGCCCAGATTAAGAAGTCTTACAGCCAGGCTTGGTTATACAAACCTGTCATGCTAGCTACTGCAGTGGCTGCTGCAGGAGGGTAATGAATTTGAGGCCATCTTGGGCGATGTAGCCAGACCTTGTTTCTAAAAAGGGGTGGGGTGAAGCCAGGTGTGGTGGAGCACATCTGTAATCTCAGCACTCTGGGAGGCTGAGTCAGGAGGATCACAAGTTTAAACCTAGCCTGAACCGCTTAGTGAGACCCTGTCTCCAAAAAGGGCAGGGGTATGAAGGCCCTGGGTTCAATCCCCAATACCACACACAAAAAAGTTGGGGCTGAGGGTGTAGATCAGTAGTAGAGCACTTGACTAGCTTGTGCAAGGTCCTGTGTTCTGTCTGTAATACCACCAAAAAAATAAAAGTTGTGTTGTAGTGCTCAGGTCACCATACCGCAGGGTGAGACAATGCTCACGGCTTCCCATTAGGCTCCTGATGGTCTCTGGCTAAGTCTTTGCTTTTTCCCCTGCTCAGCGATGCCACTGGAGCGACATGTTCACAGGGCGCCTGCGGTCTGAGATCCCCCCGGCACTGGTAAGGACAAGGAGTGCGCTGCACTTCCCCTGGCTCGGGTCCCCTGTGGCTGTTCCCTGACTTTCTCTCACAGTCTTCCTCGCGGAGCCTGAGATAAGCCCCACAGGTACTGAGCGCTCAAGCGGAGCCTGGGTCCTAACAGAAGAGGGCGGAACACAGCGCAGAACCAGGCTTGCCTGGCTTTGGGGAGGGCCAGGTGTGCCCTAGTGGGGCCAGGCCGCAGTGGTTGTCACCCGCCCACCTGGACCTGCTGTGGCCGCCTCCTCCAGCCTGCATTTCTGTAACCAACACTGGGGTTCCAGAGATGTCCCTTGAGGGCAGGGCCAGCCCTGGCACAGAAGCAGCAGCGGGCAGGCATCTGTGAAACTGACCTGAGCTCCCTCTCTGCCCAGATCTCACTAGGGGAGGGACTCATCACCGCTGGGGCCCAGCTGGTGGAGCTGGACCTGAGTGACAACGCATTTGGTCCCGATGGTGTCCGCGGCTTCGAGGCTCTGCTCAAGAGCCCAGCGTGCTTCACCCTGCACGAGCTCAAGCTCAACAACTGTGGCATGGGCATCGGTGGTGGCAAGGTGGGTCAGGACTGCCTAGTCCCTCCTGTGTCCACACCCAGCTGAGTGTCCTCTGGCCCTTGGCCACCCCTCTGGGTGCCTTTTCACTTCAGAGGAGAAAGGTCTCAAAGGTAGCAGCCTTTGGCCAGTGGGGAGAGGAATCTAGAAGGGTGGGGTTGCCAAGCAACCATCCCAAGTTCTCGTGTTGCCTGGCAACGCAGGGCGGTGTTGCTGTGTAACCTGCTCTGATCTGCTGGCTCTGCAAAATGCAGGCTTGGGGCATTCTTGTACCCACTGTCACTTGGAACAGCTGGCAGAGCCAGGGCAAGGAAGGGACCCAGTAAGAAACATACTGCTGCGAAGGGCGGTCTCACTCGCCTTGCACCCTGAATGGCCTTGGTGCTGCCCTCTCCAAGAAGCTGGACTGGTCAGTGGTGGAGAAGAGTTCGTTTGCTTCCTACCATGTGCGCTGAGGGGCGCCTCTTCATTCCCTGCTTGTCCCCTGGGCTCCTTCAGGCCCAGAGCTGAGAACTGAGTACACACGCTAAGGGAAGGGCTGGGGACACAGGGAACCAGCAGGGTTTGGAGATATCTTTGTGCATATGTTCACGTGCCTCACCCTGAATGGTAAGTCCCCGTTTCCCTGCATGAATAACTCTGGCTTGGAGAGGTGGGGTGCGTGGGTCCCAGCGAGGTGGGGGTGGAATTTGACCATCTACACGGTTCTGTGCAGAGCCAGAGGAACTGAGAGGAGGCTCACAGTGCCCCAGCCTGAGGAGCCAGAGCAGCCGCCTCACAGAGGGTGCCTGCTGCCTGCTGCCCCACAGAAAGGACGGGAGTCTTCGTGTCTCCCACATGCCCTCCCCCGAGTCTGGCTGGGCAGTGAGCTGCCTGTGCGCTATGACGTGAGAATATTTGCATCCACACAGAGGAGTGCAGCCAACCCAGAGTGAGGGGCGTCACCTCACCCTGCCACACAGCAATACCAGGAAACAGGCTCCTGGAGCGCCCCCGCTGGCCTGTGCCTGTCTGGCCTATGCATACTCGCGGTAGATGGGATGATGTTGGGAAGCAGAGAGTTTTGAACCTGTGGCCAGGGGGCTTTCAACAGACTAGCTCTTTTCTTTTCTTTTTTTTTTTTTTTTTTTTGGTTTTTCTCCAGTACTGGGAATCAAACTCACAACCTTGTGCTTGCCGGGCAGGCGCTGTGCTGCCGAGCTAACCCCCAGCCCCTCAACAGACTAGCTCTGCCCTGGGACTTGACCTGGACTGTAGCCCTTCCTGATCTACCAGCTGCATTCCAAGACCTTCCTGGGTGCCTGAACTCACGGATAGTTCCAAGCCCTAAACGTACTGCTTTTTCCTATACGTGCCAGTGGTAGAGTTTAACTTACTAACTAGGCACAGTAAGTGAATAACGGCAGAAATACAGCAGTTATACCAGTGTAGTATAGGAAAAGTTACGTGAATATGCTCTCAGAGTATCTTGGTGTACTGTAGATCTTAGCAACCTCAGCAGATGATTGTTTTTCTTCCCTTTAGTCAAGAGCTCTCAGCTTTTCTCTTTTAGGGACAGTGTGTTTGGCCTGTCCAAATGGCCAGCGGCACTCCTCTTGAGCTTTTTCTTTTTTTCCTTAACTCACTATGTAGTTCAGGGTGATTTCGAATTCTTGGGAATCCTCTCAGCCTCCTGTCGCAGCTGGAATTACAGGCACACATGGCCACACCTGGCCTCTTTGGCTCTGAGGAACATAAATTATTTATTCAGGTTTTTGTTTGAGTCAGGGTCTCACTATGTAGTCCAGGCTGGCCTTGAACTCAGTGATTCCCTGTGCCTCAGCCTCCCAAATACTGAGATTACTGGTGTGCTCTACCACGTCCAGCTACTAATCAGCACTTGTACTTCGCCTCTTGGTACAATAGGATAGGAGCTACCTCTGGGCTCCATGTTAAAAACAGGGCAAGCTGGATTTTAGGTTTGTGCATCAGCAGGCGTCACCCTGCTATGCCCGGCCAGCCCAGACAAGGGCCTTGTCAGGTGGTGTGGCTGGACCGTGGTCCTGACCCACTGGCTGCCTCCAGCACCATCTAGGTTTGTCTGTCAGTTGCTTACTGACCATAGACAGTTTCTGAGCTTGGCCTGGTGGCACGCACCTATATCCCAGTTGCTGAGCCCGGAGGGTCACTTGAGTCAGGAGATTGAGCCCAGCCTGAGGGGTGATGGTGTGCTGAGAGAGTTGCGCCTGTCCCCTCTCGGCAGATCCTGGCAGCAGCTCTGACCGAGTGTCACCGCAAGTCCAGTGCCCAAGGCAAGCCGCTGGCCCTGAAGGTCTTTGTGGCCGGCAGGAACCGGCTGGAGAACGACGGAGCCACTGCCTTGGCAGAAGCTTTTGGGGTGAGTGTTTTCTTCCCATCCTGCCCTGCTGGGCATGGTGGGCCGCTTCCTGCCTCGTCCCAAAACGTCCCTAGCCCACCACCTTGGTGGGTCAGTAGCAGCTCCGCGCACTGTTTGAGAAGGCTGTGACCTTCGGGAGGGCAGGAGCCTGGTCTGAGAGTGTCACTTTCTCAGCAGCGGTGAGGACAGTGGGAGCTAAATATGACACACCTGCCGGACAGGGACACAGACAGGTGGGAGCAGCGAGGGGCAGGGCCTCCTCCCTCACCCCTTCTCCCCAGGGCCCAGTGTTGAGGCCCTGACGGCGAACTCCATGCATGGCCACACTTGCCTCCCACAGGAGTGGGAGCCTTGGGTTCCGTCCCCTTCTGCTCTTTCATCTTTTAATTGTTTTGTGGTGCTGGGGGTTGAACCCAGGGCCTCGTGCATGCTAGGCAAGCGCTCTACCACTGAGCTCCCTCCTCACCCTGTTCATGGGAATGTTTCTAGAGCGCTATCCCTCAGGCCTGACGCTTTGCTGGCCTGTCTGCCGGGCTGCATCTAAAGATGCCTGCCTCACCAGCCTGTGTCTCCCTGGACCCCTTGCTCAGGGGGCACCTGCCTCTTCTGGGGATGGTGGGGACTGGCTGCTGCCCTTCTGGCCTCTGCTATGCTTAGAATAGGGTTCTTAATCCAGTGTGGGGAGAGTTCAGGGGATCTGTGAACACAGAGGGAGAAAATCGCATCATTGCTATCTCAACACAGCTAAACACTACAGTTGACCTGGGAACAGTGACATATTTGGGGGTGCTGAGCCCGTGCACAGTAGGGAGCCCACAGAGCCACTGCTGTCCCCCAGCTCCTGAGTGTAACGTTTGAGTCCCAAATACTTTAATACCCTGTGGTTACCCACAGCATACACAGCTGGTGAACGCACATTTTGTTTTGCTTTGGGTAGAGTATTAGGGGGCTGGGGATTGAACCCAGGGCCTTGTGCGTGCGAAACATGCGCTTCATCGCCAAGCTACACCCGAGCCCCACGTTTGTGTTACATGTGTCACACAGGGTGGAATACCAAAGAGGACCAAGAGAGGTCACTTTTTACCATGATGTACAATTTGCGGAGGACAGACTGCTCGAGAGGAGACCAGTGTCACATGGGCCACGCAACATTTTACAAAGATGCTTGTAACACGACTCATGGGACAAAAAGTAGCTGCGTAATATTTTGTGGGATAGTGAATTTCAGCAGTAATAATGTAATACTGCACTTTTTTGTGGTACAGAGATTGAACCCAGGGATGCTGATCACTGAGCAATACCCCAGACCTTCTTTGCAATGTTGAAATAAGGTCTTGCCGAGCCGCCCGGTGTGGCCTCACACTTGTGTGGTGGTGCGTGCTTGCGGTCCCCGCTACAGGGAACACTGAGCTGGGAGGGCCGCTTGTGCCCATGGGTTTAGGGCCTGCCTGGGCAACAGAGTGAGACTGTCACTAAAATTAGAATTTTTTTTGTACCAGGAATTGAACTCATGACCTCATGCTTGCCAGGCAGGCACTGTGCTTTTGAGCTATGTCCCCAGCCTGTAAAATTAGAGAAAAAGAAGTAAATTTGTTTATTACTACATAGCTATGTTAGTATAGCACATGTTTGTTTGTTTGTTTGAGACACGGTCTAACCATATAGTTCAGGCTGGCCTTGAACTCACCTGTGTAGCCCAGGCTGGCCTCACACTCACAACAGTCCTGCCTCAGCCTCCCAAGTGCTGGAATACAGGTGTGTGGCACCACGCCCGGGCTACGTTTTGGTAACTTTCATTTCAGGGGACTCCTTTGTAATTCTGTAACATTTTTATCAAAATTTAAGAACATTTTTCTGAGGAGGGACCCAAGGGCTTCCTGGCTGTCTGGTGAGTGCAGGGCACAGGAAGTGTTAAGTAGCCTGGCTTGCGCTGTGCCTCAGTGGGCCTGCCTGGGTTTGTCTGTGACTCCCTCCCACGTGTGCCAAGCCCCCGGACAGAGTTGTCCCAGGGCTGACCTCAGTTTTGGGTGGCAGTGCAGAGACAGGTGTGGGCCCCTCCCTGAGAGCCCTGAGCTGGGTGAACATGAGAGCGGGGCTTGAGCTCCAGGCGCAGGAGCCGGCCTCCAGTGGGAGGGGGCGCCCCAGTGAGAGCTGCAGGGTACACGGGGAGCAGCCTCCCCGCAGCCGCACAGGAGGCCGTGAGTGGGGCTGTGGGCGAGTGAGTGTTCAGAGGCCGGGTTGAAAGCAGCCCGAGCAGGGTGGGGAGGCCTCCTCTCCCCTGCACGGACGTGGCCTGTGGACCACAGCATGCTGTAGCTGGGGGAGCACGGCTCTGGAGTGCGGCCAGGTGGTGCTGCACTGTCCAGAGCAGGGTCCTGACTGGTGATCACAGAGCCCAGGGTCCCCGCAGTATAGAGGACGCCAGACTGAGGCATCTATGTTCCGGTTCATCCTCTGCTCCAGAGCTGTGTGACCCTGGGCCAATCACTTAGCCTCTCTGTTCCCACTCTTCGCTATCTGGGGGATCCTGATCCAGGTGGGTCAGTCTCAGGAGGCTGTGGAGGACCAGGTGCAGCTGTGCCAGAGGGTGCTTTGAGATCTGTGGCCTGAGCCTGCAGATAAACCCCTGCTGGCGTCGCTGGCCCATGGTCCACTCTGCACTGTCCTCCCCTCGCAGATCATCGGGACACTGAGGGAGGTGCACATGCCGCAGAACGGGATCAACCACCCTGGTGTCATGGCCCTGGCCCAGGCCTTTGCCATCAACCCCCTGCTGCAGGTCATCAACCTCAACGACAACACCTTCACTGAGAAGGGCGCGGTGGCCATGGCTGAGGTAGGCAGGCGGGTGTGGGGGGGCCGTGAAGGGCAGAGTAGCCCGGGTCTGGCTGCTGCCTCTGTTGCCAGAGGGGCTGCTCTGCCCGTCCCTGCCGTGTGTACCCCATCAGCACAGGGCCACGGATCACAAGGGAGGCTGTGCCCTGCTACGAGTCCCAGGCAGCCTCCGTCCGCCTCCAGCCCTGGCGCTGTTTCACCCTCAGGCCACAGGGGACAAGGCTGCCTGCGCTGGCTTCCCGAGTTGTCTCATCCAGCAGCTGTCCACTGAGTCCCTGCCTGGTGCCCAGGTTGCAGCGGGTGCAGGCCCCATGGGTCCCTCCTTACAGAGGAAAGGGAGCCACGAAGCACTGTGGGCCAGGGCTCTCAGTGGCAAGGACCCCATGGTCCCCTGGAAGGCTGGCACTGCTGCTGTGGTGTCACCAGACAGTGTGGGAGCACACAGGACAAGCTCTGGTGGGGTTGGGCTGGCTTCCCGAGAGAGCTCATCTGCTGGCTGAATCGTGCAGGGCAAGTGGACAGAGAGAGTGGAATGAGTGTTTTGGCAGGGGGATCACAGGGTGTGGAGGCCTGAACTCGGGAGGGAGCCTTGCTCCCAGGTCCTGCTTCGAAATGACATCCAGGTGTGGGAGGGAGGAGCGGGGAGGGGAGCAAGACCTCAAAGCCTTGCTGGTTCCACGAGGCTCTATCCTGTAAGTAATAGGGAGCCATGGAGGGTTATGGGGGAGAGTATGCTGTGACAGATTTGCACTTCAGGCATTCTGACTGCAGTGTGGGCAGTAGGGTGGTAGAGGTAGAGCCCACATCCCAGAGGCCAGTATGGAGGCTAGGAGAGGAGCTGAGATATGGTAGGGGGCCAGACCAGGACACACAGGAGGACAGCGAGGGACTGAGCAGGGTGTGGCCTGCACCCTCACCTTGGACCTTGTTTCCTCCTCACAGACCCTGAAGACCTTGCGGCAGGTGGAAGTGATCAACTTCGGGGACTGCCTGGTGCGCTCCAAGGGGGCCGTGGCCATCGCGGACGCTGTGCGCGGGGGTCTGCCCAAGCTCAAGGTGCCGTTGCACTCTGGGCCCCGGGGTCCCACTTGGGGTAGAGGAGCCCAGCCCCTTGCCCTTCCGCGCCGTTCCGCCAGTCTGGGTGCCTCTGAGCCATGGCATGGTCATGGGAGGAGCAGTGCCGTCAGAGCGTGCCCGGCACAGGCATTGCGTCACACGTGTCTGGCTTCTGGTCCCGGTGTCTCTAGAGGAGCCGAGCTGGGGAGCAGGACCTGGGCCCCCAGTGGCTGCCTGCCTCAGCCTTCCTCTGCTTCCAGGAGCTAAACCTGTCCTTCTGTGAAATCAAGCGAGATGCTGCCCTGGCCGTGGCAGAAGCCGTGGCTGACAAGGCCGAGCTGGAGAAGCTGGACCTCAACGGTAATGGGCCGGGGGCTCTCGGCACAGCCCTGGCCCGGCCCCTGGCCCTGCACCGTTCTCACCTGCATTTTGCCCCGAGCAGGCAACGCCCTGGGAGAGGAGGGCTGTGAGCAGCTCCAGGAGGTGCTGGACGGCTTCAACATGGCCAGGGTGCTGGCGTCCCTCAGGTAAGGCGCAAGTGGGCGGCCGGCCGCCGCACCTCACTCAGTCCTCTGCGTGCTCCCCCAGAAACTCACTGAGTGCCTGTGGGCGCCAGGCCTGTGCTGGTACCAGGGACAAAGAGTGACACCAAGGTCTCTGGGTGGCAGAGACGGGTGGGGTGACAAAGCTGTTCTCTGCTTTCCGGGGGATGTGGCGGCCGAGTCTGGAGGCGGACACGGCTGAGCGGCAAATGTAGAGGACAGGAGCTGTGGGAGCTGCAGGCAGGGACGTGGGCGCCTCGAGGGAACGGGCGCAGTGCATTCCCAAAACCGACTAGAAAGGAAGGCGTTGGCACAAGAGAAGCCGGACGTGGCGGCACCCCCGTAGTCTCAGTACTCAAGGAATCCGAGGACTCGGGAGGATCAGGAGTTCTCCAGCTTGGGGAACTTAGCGAGAGCCCGTCTCAAGCAGTAAAACAGGGCCAGGGACGCAGCTCGGTAGGAGGGCTCTGGGTTTAGTCCTCAGTACCACGGGGCGGGGTCCGGTGCAGAGGAGGGCGGGTGGGCAGCAGGGAGCAGCAGCCTCCCGCTGCGTCACAGCCAGTTTGCGCCAGCCAAACCCCGGCCGCTTCCCTCCCAGGTGTCTTCATTTGCACAGCAGACAGTTACCCGGCCTGCGTGCTGCGGACTCGGGTCAGGGGAACTGGCATGGCTCCTTCAGTGGCAGGGTCACCTCGTGGACCTCCTGCGGTGATCCGTGCCCCGCCCTGGGGGCAGGGCCCCCAGTTCCCCCTCACAGGGCCAGCGTGGGCTGAGGGCAGGGAGGCTCTGCCTTAGCCAGCTCCTCTCCACAGTGACGACGAGGGTGAGGATGAGGATGAGGAGGAAGATGAGGAGGAAGGAGAAGAGGACGAGGAGGAGGAAGAGGAAGAGGAGGAGGAGGAAGACGAAGAGGAGGAGCCACAGCAAAGACAAGGAGAGGAACCAGCCACACCCTCGAGGAAGATTCTGAACTCCAGCACTGGGGTAAGTCCCCTCCCTGCTCGGGGCAGAGCTCGGATCCCCTGAAACCCTGGAAGGTGTAGCCACAGTGCCTTTTACTTATGTATTTGTTTAGGTTTTTAGGGTCTCGCCCTGTAGTTCAGGGTGGCCTCAAGCTCACTGCCCTCCTGTGTCAGGCTCCGGGTAGCTGCATGACGGCCTGCACCACCACACCTGGCCGGTACTATACATCCTTTGTATAGTAGTATAGGTGTACAAGCTGATGTGTTTTCTCACCCAGCAACGGATTATCCTGGTGACCTTCAGGGACAGCCTTGTGCTCTGGAGATTGCGGCTGGGACTGTGGCACACAGTTGGTGCCCCTTGCCGGGCCCTAGTCTGTTCATTCATGTTCCCTCATAATTCCCGAATGAAGCTCCAGGGAGCTTTGGGGAGGCCTAGGAGCACCCTGCCGCTGTTCAGCTGGGCGCTTTCCAAGGTTCTGGAAGCAGCGTGGTGACGAGCGGACTCTGGTGGCAGGCGCAGCCCCTCTGTGCCCACTGCAGCTCTGACTCGGGCTGGGCTTTACTTCCTGGTGGCCTCTCCCGCGTCATTTCTGGGGCCTTGCGCGGCCCCGCAGGGATCCGTGTTGAGGCCTCTAGGCCCCCATCTAGAGGAACAGTGCGGAGCAGGTGGACAGTTCCGACCTTGGACCAGGCCCGGCTAGAGTGAGGGTGGGTATTCCGGAGCGGAACCAGGCAGCAGGGCCCAGGGCCTGAGGCTGGAATCCGGGTAGATGCCTCCACCCGCCCACCCCACCCCTGTGTCACCTGTTTCAGGAGCCGGCCTCCTCCCTGTCCTCCCCGATGCCTCCCGATGTCTCCACTTTCCTGGCCTTCCCCTCCCCTGAGAAGCTGCTGCGCCTTGGGCCCAAGAGCTCAGTGCTGATAGCCCAGCAGGTGAGACTCCTTGCTGGAGACGGGGGCAGCAGAGCACCGGAAGAGGGGAGGGTTCGCTGTCACCTACAGGCCTGGCTCTCAAGGTTTTTTTTTTTTATTTTTAAATGCAGACACATAACCAGGTATAGTGGCACATGCCTATAATCCCAGCTCTGGAAGGCTGAGGAAGGAGGATTGCCACAAGTTCAAGGCCAGCCTGGACTACCGAGCAAGACCCTGTGTCAAAAAGCCAAAAAAAAAAAAAAATAATAATAATAATGCAGACACACATAAATGAGCATGTGCAGGATACCTGTGAGCCCCCGCTGCAGTAAGGGCAGCCTGCCTCCCCCAGCCTCACCACGGGGAGTTCACGCCCAGGCTGCCCAGTGTGTCCCTGGGCTTCTGCATGGTCAGCAGCTTCTCGAGCCACCTCCTGCCTGGCCCCGTGCATACCCATGGGAGGCTGCCCTTGCTCCAGCCTCACTGGCTGATTGGTTGTTGCTTCACTCATTCATTCAGAGGTGATTATTGAGTGCCTGTTTGTGCCAGGCACTGTACTTTGGTATAATCTGGGGATTGATGGGGGCTGGGGATTTAGCTCAGCGGCAAAGCGCCTGCCTGGCAAGTGCAAGGTTGTGAGTTCCGTTCCCGGTACCAGAGAAAAACCAAAAAACAAACAAACAAACAAACAAAAAAAAATCTGGGGATTGAACCCAAGGCCTTCACACTGAACATCTTGGCTCTTTTTAAAAATTTTTAAAATTTTGAGACAAGGTCTTACTAAGTTGCTCAGGTTGGGGTAGAACTAATCCTCCTGCCTCAGCCTCCCAGAGTGCTGGGATTATAGGTGTGCAAAACCACACCCAGCTAACGCAAACCTTTTTGTGTCCCGGCATTTTCGTGTCACACCATTCTATGTGGGTAGTATTCTCTCGTCCCTTTTTATTCCCATGAGTAGCTCTGTCACTTCAAAGCAAGCCACTCCTCCTGGAGGTCTGTTTCTCCCTCTTGCTCCCACTGTTAGAGAAGCAGAAGTCGCTCTGGCTTCCTTGCATATGGACAGGGTCTGCATTCTGTGATTTCCTCAGGTTGGATGACAGGACGGGGCTGGGGACTGTGATATTTAACGTGCTCCATCTAGCCACTCATCCCAGCTGCGCAGGTGCCGGAGGTCAAATGTGAGCCAGCTGGGTCCTGACCACCAGGCTGCCCGCACTGCCGGACCTCTTCAGGTCCGAAGCGAATCTAGACTTCTCTTCACCACCTGCCAGAGTCCTGGGACCTGGCCCCAGTGATCTGCGTTGTCTCTTGTGTCTTCAGACTGACACGTCGGACCCGGAGAAGGTGGTCTCCGCCTTCCTGAAGGTGTCGTCAGTGTTCAAGGACGAGGCCACAGTGAGGACGGCAGTGCAGGATGCAGTAGGTAACGTGGGCCGGGCTGGAGACTCACCCCCACAGCTGACGTAGATCGATGGTGTCTAGACCCCCCTGCTGACAGAACCCCTCAGCCCATTCTGTTGGGGGCTTGCCGTGGTCCTGCAGCGGAGTGGGCTGCGCACTTTCCAGTATTTGCAGCTGGGAGACTCAGGCCTTTCCCAGAACCACGTGGCTGCGTCAGACCTGCCTACACAGGAGGCTGGCGCCCCGGCCCCAAGGCGCTGTGGGCACCTCCTGTCTGGAAGAGGGAGCGGCTCCCTCGTCCCCGCCTGCAAGCAGGTCCGGCACAGGGGAGCCCTGTTTCGTTTCCCTGGCTCCGGAACCTGTGGCCCTGGCCCCATCCTCTGAGGGCCCTCCCGCCTCGTCACCATCAGTTTGAGCCCAGGGATGGGCAGAGAGGAGGAGGGGCCCTGTGAGTGAGGGCGTCGCTCACAGCTAAGGGGAGGAGGGGCGACGCTCCTCCCGGACTCACGCTGCAAGGGTGGTGGGGATGGGGCTTCAGCGGGAATTGAGGCTGAGCGCTTGAGGGAGCAAGACGCCTGCGTTTCGTTCTCCGGAACCACGCTGTTCTTTCCTCCCTGAGCCTCCTGCACCGCGCGCGCCGGCCCACGCCATCCCCCCTGTGAGGCCGGGGAGGAGTTGCCGCCTGCCCGCGGCCCCTCACCCTGGCACCTGTGTCCCGTGCTGGATGGGGCGTGGAAACAGAGCCGGGTCTGTGTGCGAGGGGACTCTGGCCTGTGCCAGCCTCTGCTGCCCTCACCTGCCACCCTTGCTTGTGCCGCAGACGCCCTCATGAGGAAGGCCTTCGGCTCCTCAGCCTTCAACGCCAACGCCTTCCTCACCAGGCTGCTGGTCCACATGGGCCTGCTCAAGGTGAGGCCGGAGTGTCCCGGGCCGGGGCTTCCCCTTTCGGACCTGGGCCGGGCTCCGTCTCGGGGCTGAGCTGTGTCCAGGTGCTGGGGGGCGAGGCCCTGGGTCCCCCCAGCTTCTCTGTGTTCCCCTCGCAGAGTGAAGACAAGGTCAAGGCCATCACCAACCTCTACGGCCCCCTGATGGCCCTGAACCACATGGTGCAGCAGGACTATTTTCCCAAGGCCCTTGCGCCCCTGCTGCTGGCCTTTATCACCAAGTGAGTGCGGCCTTGTTGCGCCCCGTTGGCTGGGCCGGGTCCCCGCCAGGCTGCCGGCTGCGCGGGCCGAGGGGCGCGGGTCCCCCTTGCCGAGTCCCGGTGAGGAGAGCAGTTGAGTCCCGGCTGGGTGACACAGGCTGCCGCCCAGCGCCCACCCCTCACCCCGACTCTCCCTGCAGGCCCAACGGCGCCCTGGAGTCCTGCTCCTTCGCCCGCCACAGCCTGCTGCAGACGCTTTACAAGGTGTAGCCTCCCGGCCACCTCTTCTGTCCCCCGACCCACGCCAGGAACGGGGACCGGGAGGAACCGAGCTGCAGCCCTTGCGTCCCCAGGACAGGACTCTGACCAGAGGCAGGGAGGGTCTTTGTTTGATGTCGTGTGGTGTCCCATGTGTACGTCGGTGCGGTGCCTGTGCCCTGTGTCGGGATTGGGGTTTTTTCTGTCTCCCTGGCCCTGGTCTGTCGTGGGGCGCTGCAGGCTGCTTTGCCATTAAAGACTCAAGCCACCTGAGGGTGCCCTGCGCTCCTGGACGCAGCTGCCCCCCGCCCTGCTGTCCTACCTCCCGGGCTGCGCCAAAGCCTGGGACATTGCTGTCCACGTGCTCCGCTGTTTCTCTGTGTCACGTTGGGCTGCCTTCTACGTGGCCTGGGCCCGCGGCAGCTGCTGTCCCCACTGTGCAAGCCTGTTGTGTGAACTGAGCGGCCTGTGGAGCAGAGGCCACGGGCTGGGGCTGTCGTGGGGGGCAGGACCCTAGCCCCTGCTCAGGTGGACCAGAGGAGACACCAGGGGTGCCACCAGGGGTCCAGGAGCGGCAGGGCCTGCGGCTGTCCTGGCTCCCGCAGCCAGCGGGGGCCGAGCCAGAGGGGACGCTGTGCTAGACGCAGGCCTGTTCTGCCCAGGGAGAAAGAGCCATTGCTCTGATGCCAGCGCTGCGTCTGGGGCTGCCCCCCGAGGACCCCCGTGGGAGGGTGGGGCCAGGCCCGGCAGCCCCGGGGCCACCTTGTGATTCCAGTGTGCTCTCTGTGTGTCTGGGCTGTGCCTGGCAGCTTCATGAATAAAGTCACCTGTGGCAGCTGGGGAGAACGAGAAATTTATCTTGCCCAAGTATGGCATCGTCCAGGCCGTACTAAGTGGCCCCCACCTCGGTCCTGTAGGAGCCCGGTGCCAGCCTTGAGCTGGGCCTGTCCTGACTGTGGCCTGCAGTCCTGTCACCCTCCTTGGGCTGCGGCTCCTTGGCCCCGTGTGGCCCCTTTATCTGCACTGCGGTTGGGCTCGGCTGGACACTGCCTGGGATCATCACAGGCCTTGCTGACTGCAGTCAGGAGCCTGCAGCAGGCGGACAGGGTTGCTTCAAGGAGTGGAGCCTGCCTGGGGAAGCGCCACCCCCTGGGGCCCCTCGCTGCATCGACACACATAGGAGGACCCCCTTGCAGCGCCTTCTGACCTCACCTTTGCGGTTACACAGCAAACACCTCTGGAGTTCGTGAGCACCAGAAAGACCCCACCCATGCTGTTCAGTCAAGATTTCTTACCAGGCTGGGAGGCTGAGGCAGAGGGATCACAAGATGCAGCTCACTGTGGAGAACTTAGTGACTTAGTGAAATCTTATCTAAAACACCAAAACCAAGGGCTGGGGATATGGTTCGGTGGCACAAGTGCCTGCCTGGCAAGTGCAGTTCAATTCCCAGTACCAAGAAATAAATAAAACACCAGAACCAGCCCAGGCCCCGGGTGGGGACAGTGGTGAGGACCGTGGGCACCAGGAGGGAAACCTCTGCGCATTGGTGAGGAGAGCGCTGGGAACTGGGGGACCCAGAACACTGCACCCTGAGCTCAGCCAGGGCGTCAGCAGGACGGTGTGGCAGGGGCCCAGGGCCTCTAGCCTGGCGTCCTGGGTGGTGGGGTCAAGGCCACTTCCCCAGGCCCTCGGTGCCCAGCGCTGCGCCCCCGGCAGAGGATGTGGTGGTCTCTGGAGGCCAGTTGCCCTGGCCCCGCTCTGCCCTTCAGCCTGGCCTGAGGCCCTGAGCACTGGGCTGGGCGCGGTGGCTGAGTTCTGCAACTGCTGCTTGCTGAGGTCACCTTGGGGTTCCCAGGCCCCGAATGCCAAGCTCCACTCACACAGACCGTGACTGTCAGAAAGCTCTCAGGTGCCAGAGCCGGGGCTGCCGGAGCCCCACTTAGGAAAGGCCTCTTGCCGCCTCACCCCCATAGAGGAGCCCACTATGCCCGTAGCACCCCTGATCTAGTCACCGAGAAACCCCACCCCTGAACACAGGAGCTTTTATTTATTTATTTATTTATTTATTTTTGGTGTTTGGTACTGGGAATCGAACTCGGGACCTTGTGCTTGCCTGGCAGGCACGATTTCACTGAGTTATATTCCCAGCCCCAACACAGCAGATTTTAGATCTACACCATGACGTGCATGGGCCAGAGTCAGGAGGATGGGAGAGAGAAGTAAAGCCTCTCAAGGCAGCGCTGTACCGAGAAAAGTGCATCACTGCAACCGTGTGCATAACACTTGAATCAGTAAGAGAAAAATCGCGACAGTATGGCTCCAAGCCAAGGTGTGTGTGACCATCCGCACACACCATGACCAAGTGGGATCTGACCCTTGGATGCAAGCAAGGTTGGTGCAACACGAAAGCCAGTGCAACAGACCACGCTAGCAGAACAACGGTGAGAGGTCACGTGATTATCCCGACAGACACAGGAAGGGCATTTGAAAGTTTAGTATCCTCATGACACAAACCAGGACTAGAAGGAAATTACCTCAGCATGGTAAAGGCCATGCAGGAAAAGCCCACCGTTAACATTAATAATGGTGAGGAAGGTTTTCCTTTAAGATTGGTTTTTGTTTTTGTCTTTTTGAGACAGTGTCTCCATATGCAGTTCAGGCTGGCCTTGAGCTCACTTTGTAGCCCAGGCTGGTCTTGAACTCGCAACGATCCTCCTGCCTCAGTCTCCCGAGTGCTGGGATTACAGGTGTGCGCCACCACTCCCAGCTATTAAGATTGGTAGGGGGTTTTTGTACTGGGAATCGAACTCAGGACCTTGCACTTGCCAGGCAGGGGCTTATGCCACTGAGCTATATCCCCAGCTAAGATTGGGAACAAGGTAAAAAATGTCCACTCACTACTCCCCTTGGACTGAACCCAGGGCTTTCAGATGGACCTACATCCACAGCCCTTTCTTAAAATTTTGAGGCAACAGGTTGGGTTTGAACTTGTAATCTTTCTGTCTTAGCCTCCCAGAGTGCTGGATTACAGGTGTACAGAGTATTGGATTACAGGGTCTTGCTCTGTAATTTAGGCTGGCTGGTCTTGAACTCACTGTGTAACCCAGGCTGGCCTTGAATTTGTGGCAATCCTCTTGCTTCAGCCTCCTGAATGCTGGGTTACAAATGTGCACCACTATTCCTGGCTAGGCAGGTAACCTTTTTTTTTCCCCAATCAAATTGTATTGGTAAATTTCAGGTATATAAAATGATCACATTCATCATAGAGAATTTGCACCTGTACATGATATAACTTCTTTCTTTTTTCCCATTCCCCCCTCCCTCCAACCCCTCCTCTCCTCCACATATATAAAAGCTTTGTTTCCATTTTTTCCTCCCTTTATCATTTTTTAAACTTTTTCCTTTTACCTACTAACTCTTAGCCACTTTTATTCAGCACACTACAGTACGGTGAGTTGTAGCCAAAGTGATTAAGCAAGATAAAAAAGCATTGAAATCAGACAGGAAGAAGTAAAATCATCCCACACATGATATAATCCTACATGGAAAAGACCCTAAAGACTCCACTTAAAAGCTGTTAAAACTAATAGTCACAGAATTGCCATTGGCCAGCAGTCCTTCTTTGGAATACAGACCCACAGGGCTAAAAGCAGAGACTCAGATAGATGCTCACCAGTGTTCACACCAGCGTCATTCACAGCAGTGCAGCGGCTGGCAGGTGGAAACAGCGTGACTGTCCGTGTATGCACAGGATCCAGTATTCAGCCAGGAAAAGGGTGAGCCCCTGGTGTTCTACAATGTAGATAAGTCTTAAAAACATTGTCATGTGAAATAAAGATAAACGCTATAGGATTCCACTTAGGTTAGAGTATCTAGAACAGGCAAATACACAGAAACCAAAAGCAGAAACCAGATATAATCCCAGCATTCTGGGAAGCTGAGACAGGAGAATAATACATTTGAGCTCAGCCTGGGCAACTCAAGTTTTTTTAAAAAGGGAGCCGAGGATGTAGTTCAGTGGGAGAGCACTTGTCTAGCGTGGGTTCAGTCCCCACCAGCGCAAAAACATGAAAGTCAACTCAATCGGAAATGATCCTGACACTTCACACACAGGAAGTGAAAACATGCCTAATTAGTTGGCAGAGAAACTAAAATCACAACATGGCACCAGTATACCCTCAGCAAAATGACCTAAGTATGGAGTCTGACAATACTAAGTGTTGGTGGGGATGTGGAACAAGGGAACTTGCACACGGCGGTAATGTGTGATTAAAGCAGCCACACCAGGAAGCAGGCAGCATCCGCCAAAGCTGAAAGTTAATGCGTTAAGACCAGCAGTTCCACTCACTGCACCTCCCGGCAGAAACAGCTGCAAACACGAAGCCGCGCTTTCCCAAGGGGCCTCACGGCGGGAGCAGCCTCAGTACTCACTGACAGTGGGAGAGAAGTAACAGAGGTACAGCAGGTACCAAGAGGGCAGGAGGGACGTAGTAAGACGGGCTAGCTCACGACGGTGATGAAGACCGACCAAGCTGGGTGTGGAGGTACATGCCTATGACCCCAACTACTTGGGAGCCTAAGGCAGGAGGATCATAAATTCAAGGTCGGGGCTGGGGATTTAGCTCAGGGGCAAAGCGCCTGCCTGGCAAGTGCAAGGTCGTGAGTTCGGTTCCCTGTACCGGAGAAAAACCAAATAAATAAATAAATAAATAAATAAATTCAAGGTCAGCATAGGCAAGACAGTAAGATCTTGTCTCAAAGTTTGTTCATTTGTTTTTTGAGACAGGGTCTTGCTATGCAGTTCAGGCTGGCCTTGACCTCACTTTGTAGCCCAGGCTGGCCTCGAACTCACAACAATCCTCCTGCCTCAGCCTCCCGAGTGCTGGGATTACAGGCGTGCACCACCACGCCCAGTTTTCAAAGTGTGAAGAGGTAATAATGGATCTCGCTGGTAGAGCGCATGCACTGACTATGTCAGTCCCCAACAACAGGTATGGGTGTGCAACCTCAAGTTGCTTCTTTTGTGTTTGTTTCTGTTTTTAATTTTTATCTCTCTTCTCTTCTCTTTCTCCCCCCTGCTTCTTTCCTTCTTTTTTTTGAAAGGGTCTCACCCACCCACCAGTAGCCTTGAGCTAAAATCCTCCTGTCTCAGGCCGCTGAGTGCTGGGATTACAGCCCTCCTCCGCCACCCCCCACCTATGTTCCATTCAATTTCAATCCCCCACCTATAGTTTTAAACCAACTATATCTCTGTAACTGGGGCAAATTGTTCTTCCTTTTGCGTCCCACACTACTGTTGTACATTATGGGATGGAATGCTAGCATGCTACTTAAAAAATGAAAATGAACAAGTTAAAA